CATATACCACGGCGAAATAGACTTTTGCTCTTTTCTTCATTGCCACAAAAGGCCAGGCACTTCGCTGGAGTTCCCATTCCCCTTTTACATAGTGATAAGGCAGCCATTATCCTTTGAACCTTTCTTTTCACCACACCAGGAGAAAAGGAAGAGTGAAAGAGAAGGAGGAGGAGGACAGAGAAAGATTTCTTCCCTGAGGTGAGCCCGGCCTCACCTCTGTGTGGCGGGCTTTTTTGTGAGCAGTGAAGAGGTCCTTAACCTTCTATCAGATGGAGGCACACAGTTGTGTTCTGCTTGAATAACTACATTGAAAAGCCCTGGAGCACAGGAGATAGTTCTATAGACTCTGCAAGTGGCATTGAGAGGGAGAGAGACTGGCAGACTGACCGAAAGAGAGAGAGAGAGAGGTGGGGGGTGGACTGTGTTGTATGACCTGCTGGAGTGTGACCCTCACATGATGTGCACATTCTTTGTTAAAGTGCTCATCAGTGCTTCACTGTGAATCTTTTCTTTGTTGGACAGATCTCACTGACAGGATGGTCCTTCTCTGGTAATGTCACAACACAGCTCACATTTATATAATACACTTCCTTTCACGGAGCTCATTTTACAGAGTAACTCTCGTCTTGCTCTCAGCCTATAAAAGGCTGTACAGTAGGAGCAGTAGTAACAATATTAGTGTGGATATTTGAGTGTCATGTTGAAGGGCTCAAAGTGGGCTGATGGTGGATGATACTGCAGGCTACTTTAATAAGAGTCTCATCTGTTAACTTTAATAGCAGCAGAAAGACTCCGTTGACCTCATAATATAAATGCCATTATGCATAGTCATCTCGCTGGGGCTTGTTTTTTTGCTGTTATGTAGGAAAAATCCTCCAGACTCAAACTTCCATTATGTCGTAAAAATTCCACATGGGCCATCAGCCAACCTATAAAGACAACGTATGTAAAGCATTGACGAACCAAGACATGCAAGAAACAATGGAATGATTACTATTGATAATTATTCGGGTTCTGTTAAATTTATGTGATGTGTATTGAATTCAGTACATTTATACATGGATAGAAAGCCTACACACCTATGTCAAAATCAAGTTTTTATCATCAGAAAAGATCATCATTTAATGTCAAAGTGTAAAATTTTACCTGAATTGCTATTAGTTGTAGAGAATCAGACAACACAATAATAAAGCATAGCTTTGTAGGGGGGTTTTATTGTCATTTGCTACTTGGCTTTCTTTAGGTAAAGCCAAAGCTTGCACAGAGATCACAAGGGGTACAAAAAAATTTGCAATGCTATAGGAATATATACTATGGTGGGAGTGTAAATATGGTGGTAGCTGCATCATGCTCTGGGGTTACTTCTCTGCCATTCAAACCAGAATTTTTAGATTAATCAAATGGAATAAATCAAAAAGAATGGCATCACCAGGAAGTGTACATTTACAAATGTCTTGGGTTAATTTCGGAACCAAATCTGACAGAAGGTCAGTGGGCTGTTGAGGCTGTACAAGATGTCTTCAAATTCAGAAAGATTTGGAGAACTTTTGAAACAGCACATCATCACAACAATGCTCCACCATTATCCCATTTACAGCCATTCTTAGTAGCATTGGACTGAGAAGTAGTTTGTGTGACTAGCTCAGCAGGAGTTTGCTAATTACTGCTGCCGCTAGTCTGGTGGAGCAGAGTAGGGGAAGGAAGGGCTTGTGTAATGATACATTTATGATTACACATAATAGATGAGTGAATAAACATTCAACCAATTTATTTAAATCTACCCATTTTCGTTAGATCACCAAAACCTGATATTTTAACTGGGGTGTGAAGATTTTTTGTTTGTTTGTTTTTCATATAAACAGAATGAGAAAATGCAGCTTTGCTCTGTCTAAAATCCACGGCAGCTAATTCATGTACTCCTGACACTGATCTTTAAAGCGGTGTCAGCCATAGATATTTTGAAGATTAATGTTGAAACCCCAATTTTATGTCATGTATTGGGGTGAAATTTGATGTCAGTGGCAACTAAAATACAGCAGATTCAAAAGATGGGTATGCTCGTCTGTATCCTGGAATCTCCCAGAAATGTTTGGAATGGATTGAAAATGTTATAGAACAGATGTTATGCGAGTCCAAATGTCAGATTTGAGCTCAATGCCTTGCCTGTTGAGGTCACGATTCCCAACATGATCAATCATATTCAGCTCTTCAATTATTATAAAAAGTTACACACCAAACTAAGTTCAAGAAGTGCAAAGTGGATACGAAGGCAACAGTAGGATTGGATTGTTGATTTTAATTGACAACAGTAGTGTTTTATAAAGACCCTTCTATTTCTTCATGTCTTAAGGCAAACCGAGATGCTTTTCTTGGCGTTTCGTCTGCATGTTTACTGATGCATAAAGTATCATCTCTTCTGGCTGTTCCGGCATTACTGGCATTAGGTGACAGAAGTCAAATGCTATAAATTTCCGTCTTCCCATGTAAGTGATCACAAACCGTCGGCCACGCTTGTCAAATGAAACGTTTACCATAGTTGGTAAACATGCCATTCCATCTTAGTTCTGCAGTGCAGCTTTCACGCTGTCAAATATAGGAGACATAAGAAACCGTTTCTGGTTTTATGAGCAGAAATCCACAGAGAGAGAAGGGAGGGGAAAAAAACACACACAAAAAAAACAGTGGCTCGAACAAAAGTTCTCTCACCTTTTAATTGGACAACGGTGTGTGATCAAGTGGTACCGAACAGAACAATGGAGTTATTGTAGTGAAGATAAACAAACACGAGGGTTCTCCGTTCTTCAGACTCCGCCAATAAAATCATAACCCTTAGTACTACAAATTTCACTTATCCCACTCCCTCTCACTTTAATGTGATTTCCATTTGATTGCCTGGTATTAGACAGAGGTTACAACGTGTGACAATATAAATGCTTGTTTATAAAAAACTGTTACTGTGGGCGATATTGCTTCGGCAGTTTTTTATTTGTACACCACAATAATGATATCTAACCACGTAGTCATCTTAAAGAACATTTTTCACACACTGAAACTTTATTGTTTTTACCACATTGTTGTGTGCTTCTGCTGTTTTCCCAGCAAAACAAACAATTCAGGGCAAAACATAACTTAGTTAGCGACTGTAGAGGATTCTTCTGCAGCTCGGCTGAATTCATACGCCAGTGTCTAGATCTTTATTGTGAATCCCTTGCATATTTTGCTTGTCTTTACTTTTTGTTCTGCTAATGCAAGCATATCTAAGCATTTCATCTAGAAACCAAAGAGGAGTCTCCCTCTACCATACTTTATACCCTATATATATGGCCCATTTTCTTTTGGGAGGGTGGGGGGTTGGCTATGTCTCTCATTTTCCTCTCAGGCTGTTTAGCCAATAATGTGAGCTTAATAAAAAGTATGTTTAATACCCATTTATAGGTTATAGGTTATTTTCAAAAGGCACTTTTAATCAGACAAATGAGACTCATCTAGTCATTTATTCTAGATTATTGGACGCAACTGTGTATATGTACATATAAATTCGACTTGCTAACATTATTGAAGTTGCTCATGTTGCACTAATTGCTAACCCCTGATATAGTCCAATCATTCCGGGTTAAAATAACATCAGAAATGGTAGTACTCTCTCTGTATTAGTTGTTTGAGCAAAGATAAATCATCACCAAAAATCCTCCTTTTTTCACTCTGTTGCATTTGGTTCCTGTAAGCCAGCGGTATTATTCCTATGTCAAATTCAACAACACAAAAAAAAAAAAAAAAACTCCTCAAAACACACCTGGAGACCAGATTTGGCGAGCAAATCTACAAATTGCTTATTTCTATTCTCCCTTTCCTAACAAGAATAATGAGCGACTTACAATTAGGTGAACTGTGTATATAGGTTATTGAAGGTCCCCGTGCGTTGCCCTCTATTTTTTTCCGCCAAATTGGAAATATTTTAGGGAGGTGCAAATGAAGTGCCTTGGAGCCGCATGTGGCCTGTGAGCCGTGCAGCAAGTAACCGGGGCCCCACAAGCTGTGCCAACGTCTTGTGTGCCAAATGTGTGGCAAGAGGGTGGCATGAATAGTGTGCCAGCGCTAGTCTGCCTGGCTGCCAGGCACTTCTCTTTATCCAATCAGACAGTTCGGCTTGAGCGAGACCCCTATTCTTGTCTGTTTCCATCTCCTCCCGAAGCTTTTCAGCCCTCCCGTGAAAAACACAGATGCGTGCACGCTTGTGCACAGCATTAAGCCTCCTCTGTGCACTGTTACGCTCACCTAGAGACCATAACCGGGGAGTGAGAAGCGCACGGCGTTCCCTCTTTGTTTCTACCCGCTGATGCTCTCCGCTCTCCTTTTCTCTCCAAGACAGAATCGCAGGCTAAATGAGCATGCCTCGGTCGGTTTTTTAAGCTTTTCATCAGAGTTATAGAAAGATGAGTTTGTCAGGGATGTCTGAAGAAGAAGCGCTGTCTGTCTGTGTGTGGCTTTATTGGACATGATGAAGGATGATATTATTGTGGATGCTGCTTCTGCTGAGGCCGGGAGATGAGGAAGGGTCCCATTTGTCTCTCTCCCGCTTAGTGTAATGTGTCTATCTGTCACTCTTCTCTCCAAGACTGGACGTTGGCGTTTGTCAAAATAATAATAATAATAAAAAAAAAAGAAGCATAATGTCAACACTGTTTCCACTTTTTATTTTTTTTAAACCGCTGGCCATTATTGTTAATTTTCTCCCCTGTCGCCACTCTAATCCAGACAAAGAGTAACACCGCAGAGATTGCATAATTTCCTGTAATATCTAAAATTACAGCGCACAAATGAAGGAGGGGGAGCGGTAACCTGACGATAATCCTGTGATCACCGAATGATTGCGTGGGAGAGAGGTGCTTAGAAAGAAATAAGTGTGAAGCAGCAAGGATATATATTCTAAGAGTAATTACAGCGAGTAGATGAGATGAGATTGAATGGGGAGGAGGTGATGTGAGGCACTCGGTGCAAAGATTAAGCTAATGCCAACGCTGCTCTTGTGTCTTCCAGGTTGACGACGCCATGCTTATGTTTGATAAGACTACTAACCGACATAGAGGTAAGTTCATAGCTTCTTCTTTGGTGCCGTTTCCCCCCACAAAAAAGAAGTGAGAAAACAGTCATTTTATGTCCTTTCCCCATGAGATAACACAGAACAGTTCCATTTCACATGATATTAGGTGTACCATCTGTTCAACAATGGGAGCGTGTCAAAGTAATCAATAAGCTGGTACGGTGTTTAGAATGTTTGAGCGTTAGACGCCACCCGTGAGAGTGTGTGTCTGTGTATGTGATGATGCTGGTGTGAGTGTTTCAGAGAGGTGCTTAAAGGGTGTAAAGATGGCGAGATGGTGGGTGCTGTGCAGTCAGATAACAGCATCAGATAAGACCCAGGAGAAGCACTGACTTTATCACTCCATCTCATCAGCTCCTTATCTGAGATGAGGGGGACATTTCTCTCTCATGCAGAGGACTTTCCAAAGACAGGTTTCCTCCCTGCACCACACTGCAGTCATAGCGTGGTGCCTTTTAGTCTCACCAGTGTTGTTTCAGGCCTGGTTTAAACAGTTGATGTCAAGGGACAGTCGCCAGTGGTGCAGTTAGTTAGGCTTACTCCCCCAATCCACTTGCTTTTCATGCAAATCCAATGCAGATCAAATAAGTGTCTTAACCGTCACCAGTCTGTTTGACACTGAACTTTTCCTTTCTGGGTTTAACTTGCATGGTGTCTCATCCAGAGCAGGCTGCAAATTCTCCAACTGAACACAGATGGACACAGGCAACTGTTACATTTTCTTTGTGTATCACAGCTTCTCCTCACAACAGTTTTTCTTGTTGGTTCTTTTGCCTCTGGCTATATTAGTTTTTTTTCCCACTTGTCGTTGGCTCCTGATATGTTTTAAAAGCAGAGACGCGTTCTTGTTTTGGGACATTTCAATTACGTAATATAAATAAGTCCTGTCGATAAAGACTTCATGAGGTCCCTTCTTTCCAACTCAAAAATAAACAGTTTAGTGCCGAGGATAGTCATGCGTTGGAGCAAACAGTTTGGTCATTGAGGTTCGACTTGCATGGGAATAAAATGGGAATTAAGCAGCCTAAGCCTCCAATCGGAACCGAATCCACACTGTCCATTTAGATTATTCTCAAAAATGACAGAACCACTCAGATCTTTGACATATGTCCTGTACTGATGGTTCTTAAAGTCGGGGCCATTTTAGAAATGTTGTTGCACATAAAAACAAAAACAGGACTTAAATAAAGATAAAAGCAACATGTTGGCTATCATATTGATTGCTAATTGTGTCATAATTGCACCACTTTTTAACCAACTCACTAAAAATGCGTGTATGCTCAACCTGTCGGCACGTCTTTTTATCTTTTGGGCAAGAAGTTGCAAAGTTTGGGAACCACTCCCCTCAATCAAGTTAGTTTTACCAAGAAATGTAGTGCATTGACATATTCCTCTACTTATTTTAACACATAAAACAAAATGAATAGCATGTTGTCTTTTTGTTCCTAGATCCATTTAGGGCCTCTTCTAATGGCCGTAACGGCTCAACAATGCAGGAAAGTAACTTTTTTCGGAGGTAGACTGTCACCAACTGTTTACGTGGGTGTGCGTTAGCAGTCGGCAGGCACTGACAGGTATTCAGCGAGAAAAAGGGGCAGACACTCATCTGGTTGTCACACCAGTCAGCTCACTTGTAGGCAGAGCTGCCATCACACCATTTCTTTGTACTGGGCTGAGCACTGCTCCGCCATAGAGGTGTAAATATTTGTTTGCACTGAGCCACTGTTCTTTTTTTATATATATGATAAATTTTTAAGTACGGTTTGGCTCTAGATTGAAAACCTTCCATCTTTCTTCTTCAGATCTATCTGCATTAGTAGATGTGCATGCGTGCTTGTCTGTGTGTTTCTGTGAGTGTGTGCTGTGCAGATAGAGTCTTTGAGTCTGGTAAACAGTTCCTAAGTGTGAAACATGTGAACTTTAGTGGAAGTGATCTATGGCTTTGAGGGGATTTTGATCTGTAGTGACAGAACCCAGTGTGAGGTCTGCTGTGAGACGAAGGCTTTTCTCGCAGTCTCTCTTATTTCTCACTCTTTTTCCTCTCCTGTCTGCTGCACCGCCAGCCGCTCTCCGAGAGGCTCCGGGCGCCACAATCGGGAGTGTGTGTTTGCGTGTGTGTGTGTGCCTGCGCGCGTGTGAGGCGTTTGCCTTTGGACAGCTAAATGCCCTTCAAACGAAGACAGTGATGGAGAAAGAGTCTTCTTGGCAATTTCTTTTCTAATGATATACTTATATAGAGCGTGACGTGGTGCTGAGAGGCAGCTGCAGTTCCACCAGCAGGCTCTGGTTTGTCCACCATAAAGATCCGAAACAGGAGATGCTCGCTGCTTTCATCTTAAAACCACAGCAGACCTTGCAGATGAATTGCATATAATATTAAAGACCAATAAGAGAATCTCAATAATTCATCCGAGCCATTGGTGCAACTGTGTAATATTAATGGCTTAGTTGCCCCTGTGACCACAACGGAAACAACATTGAATATAATATGAGTGAAACTAGTCCCCGGGCCCACTCTGCCACGTAATCCAGAGCAAGTGATGGGCATCTGGCAGCTTGCAGTCCAAATCAATTTCCCACCTGTTTCATTTTATCTTACAGATTGAGTCATGAAAAAATAATTCTTTTTTTTTTTTCTTTTTTTCTTTTGCAGCACTGCAATTGCTAAAAATAACATTATTTATTCAGCAAATCGAATGTTACACTGAGGAGTCCTCCTCAGATAAAGGGATTGCTGTTTCTGTAATTGCAAACCCTTAAAAATAATAGTTCAGGTGGAGCATACTGTGCTTTGAAAGCAGCTTGGCGAACAGCGCATTTATAACAGGTAAGAAAAAATTCTCTTACACCTGGAACAATGTTCAGACGCTGCACTTTACAACAATGACAAACAACTTATCCACGGACCTGCTTTACCAAGTGTGACTTAAAACGCGAAAGCAACGAGAGCGAAGAAGGTGGGTAGTTTTTTCTGAGAGAATAACTAAAAGCAGACACTGCTGAGGTTACAGTGGCTTCAACTTTTTCACATTTTGTCACCTTACAAATACAACCCTCATCGTGTTTTATTTTGGGACACAAAGTAGTATATAATTGTGGCTTTGGAGCAAAAGTAAATGAGGTTTTCAAAATATTTTACGAATACAAATCTGAAAATTGTTTCAGTCATTTATATCCAGCCTTCCTTACGCTGATATTCCTAAATAAAATTATAGCAGTCAGCAAACTTTTAGAGTAAAAACAGAGAAATTTGAGTTTTCTTCTAGAATTTTCTTAAAACTGTGGTGCTGGACTTTCAGGGATATATATGTTTATACCATATATACATATATACCGTGTGTATATGATCAATTACATGTAGAGGAAACCCTGGACATTGAAAGAGAGTCACTGTAGTGATGAAAGTAAACCTTGTAAGAGGCACGGCAAACATCTACAACAAGGTATAATGAGGTAAGATGAGACCAAAACTTCACTTTTTGTTCCACATGCAAAACACTGTGTGGTGGAAAAACTACATCCACATCAAAATCAACATCAATCTTGCTAATGTTTAGACAATGAGATTCAGCGGCGGCAGAATGATACTGTGGGGATACCGTTTGTTAGTCCACACCTAAATTTGATTGAGAATTTGTGGTATTTCCCAAATGACTTGCAGTTGCATAAAAAAAATCTGAAAAATACTCTCATAGTGTACGATGTGTCATTCTCAATTAGATGAAGAAAAGGAAAATTGCTATGCCTTCTTAGTAGACAACGTATTTTTCATTTTCCTAGATCTTTGTTCTGGCTGTGTAATGTTTTGTTTTGAGGAGTTTATTGCATGATTGGCGCTTGATTATTAGTGTGTCTTCCTTGGTGCTTTGGTGAATTAGAGAGAGGACAAACGTCACACTCCACTAGTAGCAGCATTGTCCTTCAGACGGTCCCCCCGAGCCTGGCGAAGCGACAACCAAAGGAGACGTTCTCTACCCTTCTCGTTTCCTCCGTTTCCTCTCTGCACCTTTGTTTCCGCTCTCTATCTCTCCCGGTCATTCACTCTCTCGTTCTTCCCTTTCTTTCGCGCAGTTGCACTATTTCTGTCTCTGCGCCGTCTCACCCCCGTCCTGACTGCCTGTCTTTGCCATCTTTCGCCTTCTCTTGTCTTTCTTCCCCCTCCTGCTAGAGGACACTCGCTGTAAGCAAAGCTCTCCACACAAAGGCGCACGCTGCACACCATCTTCTTGGCATTTAAAGGATGAGAATACAGCCAATTGTGTTGGAAATTGAACTCTCTAAAGCCTGCCTTCCCACCGCAGCAGTTCATTGTGGGTGAGTTCAGTGTCTTTGGTGAGCGGCTTGAGCTGTCCAGAGGTTGATGCCAGAGGGCGCCTATTGTTCCATGTTCCCCTGCAGTGTCCCCCTGCCACTCCGCCTCCCTTCAACCTTCCCTTCTTCCCCTGACATTCATCTCAGGACAGAAAAAGAGGAAAAACCTGAAATGCGTGCAATTTGTCAGCGCTTATTTTTTGCGAGATATGCTTAACCCGTCTTGTTACTTGGACGGCGCAGTTCCCAAAAAAAAAAAAAAACCCAGGCTGGGACAAGGCCATGAGCACATGTCGCCGTCTGCACATACTTGTCATCATTCCCAGCACCCTTCCCATGACTCCAGGATGACAGGACGGACTGCGTGGGGTGGGAAAATAAAAGCTCTTTGGACTAGCCCCTGAGTCAAAATCATTCAGTCATTTTTTTTTTTCTTTTTACCACCTCCCGTTTGGCTGACTGACACATGATCTATGATCTAAAATGTGATTTTACTGTCAAACACAATTGGTAGTGCCAAGGAGACAGTCGTGGTGAGGTGAAGACAAAATGGCATCTCCTGCAAGAGAGGGGTATGAAGGCTGTGATGAAAGAGTGGCAGCTATCATTATCCACCAAAGCATCACAGTTTAATTTGTGAGCGAAAGCTACGGACGATGATGGATGAATCTCAC